AAATCTGCTTGTCAAAGGTTTAGAAAAGTTCCAGAGAGAAAAAGAAACCGTGAAGCTTGAAGCAGGGAGGTAAATGGGGGAAGCAGGACTGCTTTTTTGGGTGGCACTAATTTGGTGCCTGAATTCAGATGTGTTTCTTGTTACCTACTCTTCCTGACTCATTACAGTGCTAGGTCCATTATCACTGAGAGTTGTTGCCCCTGAGATTGAGCAGGGCAGGGGATGGAAAATCTGAGATCAGTAGCCCTGATGTAAATAGTACACCCTTTAGTTTAGGAGAGGAATGGTTCTAGGGCAATTTCTCTCTGATCTGGCATATTTAAGGCATTGGGCCTCCAATGTTGAGTTAATGAACAGAAAAGTGCTGGGTTGCAGCACATCCTTTTTCTAGGGTCTTCCTGGATTTCCACCCCTGCAGACACAGAAGTAGGAGATATCATTCCACCCTTTGGCAATTTAGCATAAGAACTTTGGCCATTATGGGGTAGCAGCTATGTAAAAGAGCAAAGCCATTCTCTCTGCTGCTCCAGGGCAGAAGAATTTTACAACTGATGTTCTGGATATGAGGAAAGTGATTCAGTTCCCATCATTAGATCCCTCACTGCCCATGCATAAAAAATCCTTTCATTTAACATATCTTGAGCACTTAGTGGCTCACAATTAGGAACATCCATCCATAACCATTCCATGGCTGGCATCAAAGATCCTGCTTCTTCACTGCTCTTAGCCCAGCCATCTCCAAGAGTGCAAAAGGAACGCAGAACACCCCTGTCCTAACTTGGGCATCATTTACAGCCGCTCTGAACATGCATATGACAGTGCAGCATAACTCAGAAGTGGAGAGCTATCTTTTACCTGTGCAGCCAGCTATCCACTTTAGAAAAGCTTCGTATTTGTACCAGTTCTTAGAAACTTTTGCAATGCGGCAACTAGTGCCAGTGTGCTTAAGAAGTATCGCTTTTCTTCTAAAAAGGTTCCAAATGCCCTTCTCTCCACAAATAAACCTGCACATGGGAATCTGACACAGAGATACATGCCTAAGTAGAACTCCATAGGATACTCTAGTCTCATCTTGCTTATACTGCTGTGAGGTCACTCTAACGTTATTCCAGATTCATTGCAGAGTAAATACAAGGCATAAGGTCCTAATATTGAGACAAATTTCTGTTCAGCATTGCAAAGGGAGGGCAGGCATTCACACTCACTTTGAGAGTGGCTGGTGTTTGGAAGATCTGGGTCTAGGTCCACACAATCTAGAGGTGGAAAGACTTTTGGGACATAGCTTGCCTTTTCATCAAGGCAGAGAACTTTAAGGACTGTCACGTAACATAAGGAATACCTCTTGTCCTCTTATCTGAGCAGTGCCTGCAAATAGGCTGTGCACTCTTTTATGTAGCTAATCTATATGTTCCTGCAATTATGTCTATAGCAAGGGCAAAGGGGAACATAAACTGTTGTGCTGCTTCCTGCCCAGATCTGCAGTGTTTGGTTAGCAAACAATGGACTGGGGTGGTGCTGGAGATGTAGCTCCCTTACACTAAAACGTCACCTTCCAGCTCTTTCAATGGCTGCGACCCATTTCTCTGGTGTTTCCCCATAGCTCCATGACTGGTTCTGTTCCAATGCCTCAATGCTCTGCATAGTTCTTGCTCAGAGAAGTTCTCCCAGTCATGCCAGTGACACCACTCAGATGAGTAAGAAGTATTCAAGAAAGTTTGCATGCCCGTATCTTAATGATTTATCTTTGTCTTCCTTTTCTTCCCAGATCTGCTGTGAGGTTACACCAAGGCTTCTGGTTTCTGATGTCCCAGAGCTGAGAAAAAGTATCCCAGATAACCAAAACCAAGCAGACTAATACAAGAACACAGTAAGTTACTTGCATTCCCGATTCTTCAAGGAAGAAATCTATGAGAAATTTCACAGTAACTGTAGTTGGGAAAGACCTCTCTGATTTCTCCATGTATCCTGATCAGCACTCACCTCAGATTAGCTTTCCTCTCATAGTCTGTCAGCAGCCCTGAGATCAAGGAGATTAAAACACCCTGGTAACTCATTAATGAGCCAGGACCCTCTGCCACAGCTGGACCAAAAATGTCCCATGTTTGGCTGCATCTTAATTCTTTACCATCTCCTCTCTGTTCATCAACACCTGCACACATTTGGGACCCGGTATAAGAGGACCCCTGAATTCAGCTCTAAGCAACCAGTCTGCAATGCACATGTCTAATGCTCTGCTGGTGTGGAACCAGTATGCTGGTAATCCTGTTAGTAATGGCAGAAGCTCCCTCTAGGAAATTATAACAAATAGTCTTAAACAATTCCTTTTGTTGACAACTTTATCCAAGAAACCATCTTCCCTGGAGACTTCACTCAACTTTTGACTAATCCCCTCCTCCCCTCAGGAGCTCTTTTGTTGAAAGAGATTGTAGGCAAACCCCAGGAATGACAGGTCTCTGTAAGCCTTGGATCAGCCTCTACATTCTTTCAATTGTCAGTCCCCATCTGTCCTGTTTGTACATCCATCTTCTGGTCCAGGGATCTCTCTATTAAGTGACACATGGCTGAGTTTATTCTGCAAGTCCAGTGTCCAGACTGTGCTGTTACATCTTCGTTGCCAAGTCAATCTTTCTGACATTGCTTTCTGAAAAACAAAAGGCAGGACATCTGCACAATTTCGCTCTCTCTGCTGAAAGGTGACTCTTAGAAATACCCCCCTGACCAAACTCTGCCTTTGTTTTATAATCTCAAATATTTTGTTTCGTTTTGTCAATATCAAGAGTTATTTCAAAGGTCCTTGGTGTAATGGAGGGTAGAATCTGCCCCTCTTGCAAAGGAATTCTGTTAGGATAAAAATCCATGGCTTAGATCCTGAATAAAAAGGAGAAATAAATCCTAATTACAAATATTCTGCAGAGCTACTGACTTCAGTTACTTTGCTTGTTAACAGTTGGTTTAAAACAAGCTCTAATCTTCCTGTAGATTCAGCTACACTTAGCTAGTACAGTAGCGCATACATGTAAGAGGCACTGCATTATTTATCTGCATTTTGAGAGGCAGCATGAGAATGGAAGCAGATTCCAATGATCCATACGTTCCTCCTCAGCAAGTAGAGAGAAAGGGGTGGAACAGGGTAGAAAACGGATGGAGTGTTGGCATGGAGCGTATATCACCCCGGGTTAGATGCCTGGCACTATCTCTTCCCTTCCGGAAACCGGGAGAACAAGGAGGAGACTGTGATGATGTTTTGTCCCTTGCTGTGTTGCTCAGGGCCCATGGATTCATGACTGAGCCTGGTATGTTTAGTTTTTCGGTTTTGTCTATTTTTGTAACTTAACTCAGGTTGGCCAATGAAGGAAGGCTGGCCAGTTTCATTATGTTCCCAGGAAATTCCATTCTGTCACGTGCCAGCGTGATGCTGTTGTGTTTTAGATGCCTATCTACCTCTGATTAGATTTTAAAAAGCATACAGAACCCCCTACTTTCCATTGGTAGCCTATTAAAATAACTAAAAAAATTACTGTTTCATTTATAACCTTGCTTGCATGTCTGAATCCAGATGCCTTTTTTAAAAAGAGAATTAATAATATGAACACCTTCACTTGTAGAATGTTTTCCTGTAATGAAATGCAGAAGAAAACTTGAGTTGACATTTAAGGTTGTTTAGTATGTTTTGGAGCAGCTTAAAAACGGGACACAAACACTTTGAGGCCAGGTTAATATGTATTTTTTAAAAATTAAGGATATCTCCTACTATTTTCGTGGTTTCACTATTTTAAATTACATATTTGTAAAATACTATCAAAATCAGTTAAAACTGGATAAATCCAAGTTCATTGAACACTGAAGCATGAGTGCCCTCCTCAAGTGACTTGTCCTAGAAGCCTTAGTGGAACTGACAATCAGCTTTTTTGGCAGGATTAGTTCCTCTGTGATCACAGAGAGGGAACAGCCGCCCTGTCTGCACTCAGCTGAGCAGGTGAGCAGGGAATGCATTCAGGCTGCCTCCAAAACCCAGTCTGGTCACAGGGCTGGCAGTGTCAGGTCCTTCTTGAAAGCGCTCGAGGCTGTCCTGTCTGCCTGCTGTTGTCTGCACCATGAGGGCAGATGGGGCAGAGAGAGGCTGTGAGACCAGGCACTGAGTGTTGGGACCTGACCCTATAGCAGGTACATGCCATCTACGTGCATTTGAAAGCACAGATGGGTAGCTGAGGTTTGCCCTGCTATCACAGCTAGGTTGACTCCTAGCTTGGCAGACAATATGACAGTCAAACTAATTTGGCCTCAAGATCAGTTTCCAGGTCTGCCCTGCAAGCACAGAGCCAGCCAGTGACACTGACTGGACACACGCTGTTAACAAATGCACAAGGTAAACAAAGAGAAAGGATATAATAAAAGGGTATTTTCTGGCAATTTCTTTCAATAACAGTGATTTTAAGTGATCTTTTGGTCTTCTGTAACAAAAGGAGATGAAAAATGTTGATGCAGAAGCATCATTTTGAGCTGTGTCATATTAAAATAATGATTAATTAAAAACAAGGATGTTATTATCTGAGGAGATTTTGCCTAGCTCTGCTCAGACTCCATTGTGTGTGAAATCAGAACAAGTAACCCTAAAATGTGAACTTAATAGACAAGGACAAAGGAAAACAAAGCAATTTGGTCAGTTTAAGCAATGGGGAAATGAAGCAATATTTTGACTGGGGAGGCATCAGAGGAAAGGGCATTGGTCTCAGACTTGGGAATATGACAAAACCAACCCAAACCTCCCATGACACCATTGAGCATTTTGCACTGTGGGCCATTGGCTTGCTGATCTCTTCTCTCTGAATGTGAGATTTCCCACTTTGTCCTCAGCCTGGGACGTCGTCATCCAGACCTGGGTATGAGTTCTGTTTCCCACCTTCAATGCACAAAGGAATTAATATGCTAAGGATGATGGCAGAAGCTTTGACAGTGGCAGCAATGCACTTACCCAAGAATTAGTCAGTCATCCCTGCTTTCTACCAAAACTTGCTTGAACCTCCTGAGAATTGGCCTTTTCGGTAAGAGGCAAACAGGTCACAGATTTCAGGTTGCAGTCTCACTCCTGGAACTGTGAGCACTGATTGTCCTGTGGAAAAATCAGGTTACAGAGAGAGCTGCAAAATGGTCCTTTTCCTTCACTGTGCTACTTTCCTAATGCTCTTCTGTGACATTAGCCACAATATAAACTAATTCAGGATCCTATTTCTCACAGCTCTGTTCCTTCTGATTTTTTTTGGAAAACTATTTCTTTAATGTAGGCACCCTTCTCTAGAAATTTCATCTATGGATTCTTTTCTTTTTTCTTTTTCTTTTTCTTGGAGCAACCAGCAAAATACTATTTGGTAGAACAGTGGTAGGAATGCAACCTGCTAATCAAAAGGATTCAAATGGATCTACGCACTGCCAAGCTCTCTCCTTCCCACCCAGCAGAGGGGGAAAAAAAGAAAAAGAAAAAAGAGATAGAGCGAAGGCACGGAGCTTCTCTCCTTCAGCAATCTCACAAACGCAAAACCTTCCACTCCAGTGACTCCTCATTAACTTACCAAATCTGACAGTCTAATTATCGTAGCTGCTTCACGCTTAGAATAAATAAATACTAAAGTGGGTGTTTAAAGAAATTGAGCAATGAAATTCAGTCATCTAGACAGTCAATAGAGAGAGAGTTTATTTTAAATTTTTATATTCTTATGTATTTATATCATTTTAGGAAAGATAATGAGATAGTTGTCTTTCAGGCTAATTGAGTTCGTAGGCTCATGGTTGCTTGCTGTCACAATCTCAAACTTAGCTTTAACTTTTGTGCCTTAGAAATCTGATCACTACATCCCCGCTTGCTCTTTTCTACTGATAACTGGGTGAAACAGAAGTACACCTGAGGATGGGAAACGACTACATGGGATTTCCAGTCCGGATGTTGTTCACAGGAAGCAAGACAACTAAATCTTCTCAGATTTGCATTTAAGAGTGTTGAAGAGAAAATGGAAGTTAAATAAACCTCAGATATAACTTGCAATTAGACAAAATACAGAAAAATGTCTGCTAACCTCTGATGCAATAGCATCTGCCTCCGTGAAGGGTATTAACAGCACTCCCCCCCAAAAGCAGTTTGTCTCCCTGAACAATGAGACCTTTATAGAAATTCTCTGGCCTGAGATCAATGGGAGTCAGAGCATTTGATCCATGTCTGTAGGACTTTGTTTCCACAAGTCATGTGGGCCAAACTTTGCGCCAGTTGTGCTTTTGCAAGAGCATGAGCTGGGGAGTGAGCAAAGGAAACTTTCCTTCTTTTCCCATCTTCCCCTTTGCCCTGTGCTCCTAGACAGGGCCCAGCACCCGCCAGCAGGATGTCTGCTCCAGGCGAGCGCCTGGGGAAGAGCTTGAGCCTGGCAACGTCTGCAGAGGCCTGTGCCCTTGGCATGCATCTGCTGTGATGTTGCAATGGCTCTTTCCTAGGTTGGTGGCTTAATGACAGACTACAAAACCTCAGTGGCCTGTCAGTATTTATGCAAGCAGACCTTCCACCACTGTGGAGATCAGGCCACATGAAGTGAGGGGTGTTTTTCCAGAGTTAAGTGAAGATTTGCTTTATCACCTCACAGAAAAGACTGCTTCTGGTTTAGGAATGACAGCTGATCTGCTGCTCAACACCAACTTTGGTTTATTCCCTTACTAAGACACATTATAAATCAGATTCATACACCTGGCAGAAACTTCACTTTCTAGGTGCCTGTATCTGATTTGCAGTGAAGAATATCCATTTGCTGTATACAGAGGTGGCAAAGCGCAGACGTAAAAAAGTGTAAGTGACTATATAAACCTTTTAGCTATGTAGGAGAACCTAGGGAAAACAGCCAACGCAAACAAGATGTCCATGAAAGCCAGCTCTTCTTTATACATGCCCTGTGATAACATCTACCAGCGCTGGCTAATCCTAACAGTAATGGGATTTTTTGGTAGGCAATGGCTTGCAGCCTTAACGTCCTCATTGCCTATGCTTGCTTTGCATTAGTTTAGATGCAACAGGCATTAAAATGACAGTGCCCTGTCAGCATCAAGCCTCCCTCCTCCTTCTTGTCTCTGATAAGCTGAATAGCGGGCTGTTTTAGGAGAAACGGTACAGTGTTATCACCGCCTGGCACACTGGTTTTGAACTTCTGGGCGGATGTAACGATCAGAGACCAACCATACCCAAAAGGAGCAAGTCCCTCCTAGTCAAAGCCAGGATCACATCCATGCAACACACAATCCTCCTCATGGGGCACAAATTGGACTTGATGACTAACTGCTATGCAGATGGTATGCCCAGGGTCAAATGTCTCCTGAACTGTGAGAAAGGTCTATGCTGAGCCTGGACATTGGTGCGGTGGTGACAGGATCTGAGGTGCCAGCTCAGGTCTGCCTGGCCCATGTGCCTGGGTTGTTTGGCCAGAGGTTGTCTTGGGAGCACATTGGTGCTAACCCCAAATCCCACTGCTCACCTTCCCTGCTTGCAAACCTTTTCTAAAGCATTTGAGGGCAAAAGAGAGGGAAAATAAACCAAATCTATAACTAAGAATAATAAGCTGCAGTTGTTACTGTGTCTGACCTGTCTGACAGCAGAGTGAGATACCTTCTCAGAAGGCCCTTTGCACTTCAGGACTGACACTGAGTTGAGAGCATAGCTTGTGCTTTCTTGATTCAAGGATCTCATCTTTCTTCCAGGAGTGATTAATTGGACAGAAAACATTCTCCTTTAGCAGGTGGCAAAGGGTTAGACTGAAGTTTTATCAGAGCTGCTGTAGTGCAGGGCTGCACTGCACAAAGATAATTGTCTCAGGATTGGCTTAGGCCAGAAAAAGGACACCAAATGCTCCAGTTTTACAAAAGGTCATCACTGCCATCCCTTAGGCTACTAGCCACAGTGGACGGAAGCTAGAGAATGCCCTGCTCCTCTCCTCTGTTGCTATGTCCAGAGGTGCTGATGGCATGTCTAGAATTAAGGCCACCAAGATGATGAGCGGGGTTTGAACCTGGGCCTTAGCAGTCCCTTCTAGAGGCACGGGAGTGAGCAGCTGTAGGAGAGGCCCATTTGTGGACCAGCCCCACTCAGGGGACAGAGAGTCTTCCCCTCTTACAGCATGGGCTACTCTTACTCTTTTTTTCGAGCACTTTGCATCCAATGAGCATAAGCAACAGCAAGCTGTTCCCCTCTGCAGGAGCTGACCACCAGGAAGCCAAGAGCCTGGTGCTCCCTCTACCCCTTCCAGTGGGCAGCGGCCAGCCTCTAGTCATTAGCATTCCCATCAGCAATCAGAAACATGCTGTTTGGAGGGGTACTTATCTTTGATTTCTCCAATTATTTTTTTCCCAGGAGTTGACCTTTGAAAAACATCCTCTAGCTTCCAGTTTGTCGTAGCAACTTATAGAAAGGACAGTTATGGATACAATTATTTCATAAAAATAGAAAATAATTTCGTATGGCAACCTTTTATTTTTTCAGATGTTGTTTCCCTCTTACTCTCTCACACACCTTGGGATCATTCCCCTCCTCCTTTGACCTTTCATCTCCAGTTCATTCTTTGCCCTTCTGCTTTAACTTTCTCCTTCAGAGGACGGGGACTAATAGCCAGCATCCTCCAGAACAAAGTGGCAACAGAATATATTTAAAATCTGCACTGTGTTATCATGGCAACGAGAATTTTAAAATGATACAGTTAAATTCCAAAATAGTGTGATGCCAAAGTGACACAAGAGAACAAATGTCTTGCATGACTATGGCAATAGGGGTGGCTACTTGGGGAATTATTCAGAATTGCCTAATTTTTGCAGGCTTAATGAGTCACTCATTAATATGGTCTTACATGATCATACTGTACTTATTTCAGCCCTGTGCACTTTGATTCTGTTCCCAACACATCGGTTGCTATGATAACGCCATGCAGTTTCCTGTCCACAAGGTACTTCTTGCCGCAATATGGGGGATAATAAATATGGGATGGTGCATAAACCCAGATGGAACGAGTCTATCCCCTCTCTGGCAGCATGTCGGAGAGATTGACACATTATGCCAATCTGTTTTCTCCTTCCTTCTATTTCCCTTCACTCTCTCCCTTTCTCTCAGTGTCTGTCTCTGTACCTGTTTTTTTCCACACTCTCTCTCTCTCTTGGCACTGACACTTTCATCTTCTCCCTTGGGGATTGGAGATGTCACTGCGGGAAGTGCTTGTCCGCCTCTCCAGCAGCAGCAGAGCCCTGTGGCTTTGACAAACCTCATTTAATTGGGAGGAAGCCAGGAGGGTTTGAAAGAACTGAAACATCCACGAAACTCCTTTTATCAGGCATAATTTAAACTCTGCATGGAAAAAACCCTATATGTATAAAGAAAAGTCAACTTCCCTCCTGCTGTGTGTGCTCCCCTCCTACCCCCCCGGCACAGGCAGGCTCCTGCGAGATTCCATCTTTTCATTTTTCTAAAAGTGTCAAAGTAGATTTGTGCTCTGTGGCTGGGTGAACAGAAAAGGAATGCAGATGTGTCTCACTCATGCACATACATACACAGAGCACCTTCTGAAGGGCAGCGGTTTGGGAGAGACGTTAGCTGGCTGCTCCTTCACTTGGGATGTGTCGCAGGAGCCAGAAATACGTTTTCAAGTAGCTTGGCAACACAGTCCAAGAAGGCTTCTACTTAATTGCCCCTGTCTTAAAAAACCCCACCAAACTAACTAGTGCAGTGGGTGCCCAGGAGGCAATGGGGAATGTGAGGGCTCTCTGGCCTGTTGCCCAATAGGAGGGAGCTTTTCCTAGTGAGGAACAGAACCTGTAGCTTGAGAGACCCTGTATTTATTATCAGCTCAGGGCAAGAGAGGCAGATCTGTGTGTTTGCAGCTGTGTTCTTAAGAGAAGGGAGCAAGGGAAGAAGAACAGAAGGCAGGTAAAACTGAGGGAGAACTGGTGAGACAGGGTACAAGGAACAGCTGTTGTCTCTGAACATCAAAAGGGAGCAGGAGGAGCCATCCAAGGGAATTGGAGCTAGCACATCATGCTGAGCAGCTGGGAATTCAGGACATCAGGAGGGACCAGCATATGAGTTACACTGAATACACAGTGTGAGCCAGCCTGAGGGAAAGCCCTGGGCCCCCAGGGTTACAGAATAGGGGAGAAACGACCTGTCAAAGCATATATACCTCTGCTTTGTAAATGTACCATGGCAGCATCCCATCCAGGTCCCCTCGTAGTATTAACACAGTGGTCAAGTGGAAGAAAACAGAAAAACAAGCTGTCAGATTTGCGATGGGATGTACACTTTGCAGCATACGGGAGTGGGGAGGGAGGGCAGGCAGAAAAGAGAGATATGTCTGGGTGAGCAGCAGAGACTTTCAAAGTACAGAAGAAACTTATAATAAATAGCATGTGAAATAGCAATTTTTTGGTGAGAAGAAATTGAGAGTTAACTTACCAGCAGGAACCTGATAGAGCTGAGGAGGCAGGAGGCTGAAGAAGCCATGAAGAAGCGCATCTTGCGCAGAGATCCGGCCTCGAGGGAAGGCTCTAAGCATCCTGGAGGCCAAATCCTCTGCTGCTGGCACCCTGCTCAGCCTAGGAAAACAGGAGAAAAAAATAGCATAGGAGATGAGCACCAGCCAGAAAGCTGGAATCAGAACTTGACCCAGCCCTTCTCAGAGCTTGAAGCAGAGATAGTGGAGTGACACAGGGGAGCTGGGTAAACTCACTCCGGCTATATAGCTAGGATATTTGCTTTTCCATGTGAGTTTGATTATGCTGGATTATATGCATCCAAGATTTCAGCTCAAACTCATATTTTTGAGGAATTTTGAAAATAAATTGTTATTTTTTAAAAAGAAGGTTGTAGGTAAAAGGGAAAATGCTGCTGGGGAGACTATGTTTTATATGTCATAACTGGAGTATCTGAGGTTGGTGTTACCAGTTTACAGTGACAATGCAAGTGCACAAAATAACCCAGCTGGCCCACTGAGCAGACCAGAGGTCAAAACTAAAAAACTAAAGAAAATAGCATTTCCCCTTTTCCTACTCTAGTTACCAGTAGTGCAGCTGGTCGTAAAATGTGTTGGGGATTCACGGAGATGAATCTGTTTCTCAGGATGAATGCTTAAAATAGATGTAATACACACATGCTCCATGCCCGGCAAATACCAATGCCAAGTGGCTGCTTTCTATAGGAGCACACAGCTGGGGACAAGGAAGTGGAAGAAAGAAAACAAACCAACAGGGAAACAAATAAAAATAGTAATTTAGTTTTACAGCTTTTGCTTTGTTTGTTTGTTCTGATCATGTTTCAGCATCAGGAGGCCCATCAGAGCATGGCCTGTTGTGCTTCCTCCCTTGGCCCCCGCCGGTGCTTCCCCTCCAAGTGACATCAGGCGCCGGGATCTCCCTGCCCCTGCCCTCCCCCTCCCTACACAGGGCATTTGATACGCTGACATTTTTGCTTTGAGGAGATAAAATGTCAAAAAAAGAAAAGGGAAAAAACGCAGACAGAAAGAGATGTATCTTGAGAGACAGATTTATAAAAGGTATCTGGCCTCACTGTGGTAGGTCACTGCTGAATTCTCACCTCCAGCAAAATGATTTGAGCAACTGCTGCCTTGGGGAGCAGGGACGGGACAGGGACCCACAGCATCCAGCCTGAGGCTGCTTGCTAGAGCTTCACCACAGACTGCCCCTGCTATGCTAGGGTCTTACTGGAGACCTTCTGCCCCCTTGGAACCTTGCTGCTGCAGGCTCCCACACTGGGCAGCAACATGGTTCAGTGCTTCCCACCATGGCTCAGGCTTCCTGGTGGTGGCTGAGCTCTTCACAGAGCTCCCCTTTGATTTCTTAATTGGCCATAGAGAGTCATGGCTGAGCAGTCTGTATGAAGCAGCTCTTTCCTTCTCAAGAGCTAAGCACACCAAGGCAGCCGTTCAGCCATACCAGCATAAGGACTCTGTAATGCAGAGTTGAAGCTGGCCCACATGCAGCAATACAGCAGAGTTGCAAGGAATATAGCTATTTTTTCATTCAGTCTGAGAGAGGATTTGTTCTGTTCTAGGAACTGTGTTATCAGGGTTTGGGACATGCTGAGCTTTGTGTTTCTAAAGATGTGTGTGACAATGACTGGCATTTCAGCAACCTGTGCTTTGCTGAAAACTTCAGCATGTTTGTTCAGCTATTCAGAACAGCATCTGGGAAACCCAGCTCTGAAGGGCAGCACACTTCACTCCAAGCAGGGCTGGACCCCAAGCAATGAGCTGAACAGGTAGAGAACAGCAGTGATGAAAAATGTGGTTATGTCCTCAGAGAATATTTGATCCTTGACCTGTTCCTGAACACAGTCCTGAGGACAAATCCTGTCTAGTCTTTTCCTATATATCTGTAAAGCCTGCGGTGTGTCTCAAAATCAGTATTGAGGGAGGAATTGATTTTAATGGCTCTCTGAACTAGGTTAGGGCACTTTGCCTGATTATAAATTTCTTTCAGTGACACATATATACATTGTGTGTGTGTGTGTGTGTGTGTGCGTGTGTACACAGATATATATGCCTGAAAAATACTCCCTTCTCTTAGCACACTAGGGATTGATTGGGAGGTGTTGGTGTGCCTGGTCAAGCTGAAGTATGTGACCATGGCGCTAGTCTCATAGCTTTTGGCCACTGAAGAATGTGATTTTTCCCCTCCTAACTAATCACAAGATTATTTCATTGTCTCATGAAAATGCTGTCCTAGCACATCTTCCTTACCACTGTTGAGCAACATTCCTACAATCTGTTTCCAGAAATGAAAATTGGGACAGTGCAAAGTCTGTCTTCAGTCTAGGCAAGAGGGCCTGGGAAAGTATGACCTTCTGAATCGAACTGTGCCCTGCAAAAAGCTGCTCATAATGTCATTGAATCACTGCTTATCTGAGAATAATCACTAGTCCTCTGAGAATAATAAACCCACTATGTGCCTACCTCTACTGCAATCTCTCGAAATCAGTTGCTTAACTGACGTTAGATCTGCTTGTTACTACAGAGCCACCCTGCTCTTCCTGTGCTTGCCAAAAGAGCTCATTTCAAGTTAAATGATTGCATAAAGAAACAAATAAACCCAGAGGTGATTTTGACATTGTCGTTATAGGTAGCTTACCTGTCACAGATGACTCGGAGTCTCTGAGGTGTCCTGGAAGCAACCAGTTCTAGAAAGTATAATATGCAATCACAGGATTAAATGAAAATCAAGCCAAAAAAACATTCTTTCAGCCCTTACAAAAAACGTGTGCTCAGAATTTCAAAGGGCCCTATAGAATCTGTCATCTTAGTATTTATAAATATACATTATTCCTATAAGACTTGAATACCAGCATTGATGTTAATAAGGCTGTTCCAGTTCTGTAACCCTTTCCTTTTATACATCTGTGAATACAGGCCTTGGGCCTGCTTCTGTTGCAGCATGAGTCTTAGCTTTGACTTCAATAAAAGCAGTATCAGTCCCTAAAGCCTCCATATGAAGGAAGCAGAAGGAGGTTTGCAGGCCTGAATCCCCAGCAATTGTCTTGGCTTACCAAGGGGCTGCTGAGCTTTGTGTATTGCCCTGTGGGCACATGGGGCTTTTCTGCATGGATCTGGCAAAAAGACAGGGGATGGAGCAAAGGCACTTGGGTTCCATTCTCCTCTTGCCCACTGCTCTTGCTCTCAATCCCTGACTAAGTTTGTTGTTTATCAAGTTAACCATTTTCATGCAGGCTTTGTACTTACTGATTCAAACATCTCTACCAGACTGGAACTTTGCAGAGTTTGCAGTTTTGGGAAGGCTGTGTTGTTGTTGCTGTTTTTCCAGGACACATTTCTAAACATTGTGGAAAATGTAGAGGAATACATTCCTCAAATATTTTCTTACAAAGCATGAATTTTCTCAGGCTTAAATATGAATGAATGGCTTAAGCCTAGAAGATTTCCCCTTAGAGCTAGTCAACAGAGACGTTTTCTTGCATCAGAAAGGCTGTAATTTGTACCCAGCTACATTTTCCTGAGCACTTTCCTGACAGCAGAGATGAACAGTGCTCTAGCTATGGAAAGGAGAGCGGGAAGGGTGGCGTAGACCTCTCTTCCATCCCAGCCCAGACAAGCATTCCCCACGGCAGCGAGACCACCAGGAGGCAAGTGCCACTGGTCTGTTGCCAGTAGACTCAGGGCTTGGCTGGGACTTACGCTGCACTTTCCGAGACCATCTGCCCTCCCTTCCTGCCTGGAAGCACCAGCCACATCGTTCAGGGACAGAAGCTGCTGGCTGCAGGCAAAGCCAGAGTCCCCTCTGCCTTCACCTGCGTGGCCATTTCCAGAGCGCCAGGCCCAGGGGCTCAGTCACTCAGTCTGACTTGATGCACAGACAATTTGAAAAAGTGCAAATGACTGAACTTGCAGCACTTAACCTTTCCAGCAGCAATCTTTCACCATTAAGCCAGGCAGGGAGGTTGTTAAACCTGTCTATCACAGGGCAAGTAACAGTTCACAATTTAAGTGTTCTACACCCAAATACTAAGGTAATTGCTAAAGCAGTAAATGGCAATATAACCTGGGATGGTAGTCATGACTGTTTAGGTGCCAGAGCACTGGAACTATCACCAATATATAGAAGTTATATATTAATATCTTGACTAGCCCCTTCCCAAATCAGTCACTGAGATTAACTCTGGCAGAACATTCCTTCTGGATCATTAATAACATTTTCTCTAGATCCTCCTTCCTTCATTTTGCCCCCTTGACTATAATAAAAGTGTAGAAATAAATTGTCCATATTGAGTAGAGATGTAAAGTTTCCAAGCAGAATAGAAGAAAAACAATTGTAAAAATGGTTTGGAAAGGCACAAGATCTTTTTGTATGAGGTAGAAATTTTTACCTCTTCACAGAGGTGGCCAAAAACTTTCAGATGTTGTAACTTTCTGCCAGAAAATTTTTATTTGTGAGATGGAAACTTTCCATGACAATGCATCAATTTCCTTTAATATTTAATAAAAATGTCAAGATGACTTAAGTATTGTACTTTAACTCTACTGAAATCTTTTAACATTAATATGTTTTAATGAGTTTAACATAAAAGTTAAAAAATACACATTAAGTTGATAACAGCAGGGCAAAATGTTTCAAAGATATCAAAGTGAAATGTCACTTTGTTTTTGTGGAGTGTATTTTCAGGATTAACATTCCAAAGAGGAAATAGGATTTTCTTTACATAACAGATAGAAATATCAGTTTGCTTACTGGGAACCAGGAGGAATACCTGAATTACGGTCTTCGTTATCTCAAGCAAGCCTCTTGACTTAAATGTATAATTTATATAACATGGAGATTAATAATTATCTACAAGGGGTAGTGTAAGACCCAGTGAGCCAACTAGTGTTCTCCCTGTCCAAACACATCTCTCAGTGGAGAATTCTGCTTGAGTGAGGACCGCCAAACTTGCCACTTTGAGTATACAGAGCTTTGATTATAAATGGAAGATATGGGTAAGAAAACAGTGTGTCTCTGCTCAAGGATTAATGCAGTTAACTAATCCACTTTAAATCAGTTCAGATTAATCTCTTGACTGACCCCATATAGTCAAACCCTTAGAGAATGCCCAGGCCCCATGGTGTTGAACAAGGTAAGAACAGAGCAGTAAATATTTTCCCGAACTGTAAGATTAAGACCAATCTAAAATTGTAAAACAGTGTAAACAGCTACTCCTTAAATGAAAGAGATAAAGAATATTTGGATATCATTCCAAAAAGTGGATGTACTACTGATTTAATCATCTTACAATGACGATATAGACATAAAATGATGGGATTGTGTAGGGCTGATTGGCTTTTTTAACAATACACGTAGGTAGTGCTTGGGTTTGTTATTGTCTATCAGTATGCAAGGCAGGGTGTGCTAATGAGGAAATGCCTTCCTATATGAAAACCCAGGTGGAAGTGGCTAATGAACTGATAATGAGGCAAGCAAGCCAGAGGAAAAAAGTTAAACTTTCCTAATTGATGAAGAGAGAGAAAGAGGATGCCTAGTGTTGCTGGAGTTGAAGGTGCTAGGGTTGCAGGCTCACAGAGAAAATTTTTCTCATTAGTGAAATCTCTGCGGCTGCAGGACAGAGGCAGAGCTCTGTCTGTGTGGCAGGCTGGAAACTGAAGTCTGTGCCCAGTGCCAGACAGATAGGAAGTTTCCCTACAGCCTGGCCAGCATATATTGCACATTAGTTACAGTGCTGCTCTTCCCTTTGGGATCAAAGTCACATGCAGTTTATTATGACAATAAAAATTTCATAGTTTTAGAATTCAGTTTCCAACCATCCCATTTTTAAAATGAAGCATCAGCATAAAAAGTGAGATTTTTTTATTTTTCTAAGGAAAAAAAAAAAAAAAAAAGCACTCGGGGCGCAGACTTCATCTGCATTCTCAAAAATGTCATTTGAAGTTTGTATTTCAGAGCCTGCTGCTTGTTGCCTCCATCTGCTGGTGACATTTTGGAAACGCAAATCTACTAAAGAGACTGAAAATCTACTCGGGGGCAGAAGTGGACTCTGGAAAGCTTCTAAATCTTATTCAGTTTAGCAAAGCCTGCAGACGTGTGGAAAACTAGGCTTAATTTAAAAGTTATTGCTGTGTCTGAAAGAGCCCAGTGAAAAACCTGTGTCTGCTAAGTGGGATGATACTACCTGGCATAGGAAACTTTATTAGTCAGCCTGTGCGATAAATCAAGGCGTAAAGCTCACTCATAGCGAGTTCATCATGTTATAAACAAATAAGCACTGTTCCCCACTCTTTGGAGTCCAAGTGTCAGAAAAAGGAAACAAAAACCAACTCGGTACATTGGGCGCTCCATATTCCCAGTTTGGCAAAAGCACTAGTTTAATGTCATGGGCTGTGATTCCTAATCCTTTCCTGCCCTTGACCCCTGCTGTCTAGATTCAAACTTGTAACCATTAATGGGGCTGGATCAAAACACTGGCCTTCTGGTGTCACCAACGGTGTTTAGAGGGGATTTAAACTCCCTGCTTTTCAGTGCAGTGAAATGAACACAGCAGTAGATTAATGCAAGGATTTGAGCTCACACAGCATGAGAGCTTTCAAAAATAGTGTTAACAGAGCTACAACTGCCTCTTTCAGGGGAAGCAAAATGAGGAGAACAGAACAAATGAACAAACACGGGGCAAAGCCTAGTCGCTGTGGGCAGGGCTCCCAAGCCCAGGGAGCCAGGGAGAGGGCCAGCGACTGTGCTGAGACGTGGGGCAGGAGCTCTCCCTACCCTTCATGTTCTGCAGGAACTGGTTCTTAAGCCAGAGCTGGGGTAAAACCGTGCTCTCAGGCCCCATGGCTGCTTGTAATTCCCTACCCCAAGTGTCTCTCCTGCAGAGAGGGAGCGAGATCACAAGCTGTAGGGCTGGCCACAGAAGAGTTGCTCACCCGTCCTCACTGTTCACCTGGGGTCAGGCTGAGGTTGAGATTTTGGCAAACTGTAGGCAGTGGGCATAAGGCCTATTTCTGAACTTCTTTGTGCAAGAAGGCACAGGGGCATAGGGTGGTCAAACACTCCTTTGGACACTTCATCCCTTGCCAGTTGCCCATAGAGGGGGCAGGGGAGCTTCTCTTCCTCCAGCTGCCCTGCGTGTGCCTGGCTCACAGACCCCACAGCCCATGCTGTATCTCCTCTTCAGACTCTGCAGCAGGATGTGCTCAAGCCCACAGCAGTGACAGGAAAACATCTAAAGGTTTCCAGCTTTCATTTCAAAGATTCCTACTAACCCACCTGGCCCAGGAACCCTTCCAGTAACAACCTCAGTCTGGGGCTGAGCCTACACCGCTGAATCCAGTGGGAGTTTTGCCATCAACTTCAATGAGAATAGGATCACACCTCAGTGCTTTGTTTTGCTGGTGTTTGTTCCTTGCCTCGGGCAGGAACCTGTTTGTTTGTTTGCTGCCTGCGCTCAGTAAGAACATCAATAGGACTAGCTAAAAGCCTTCAAGCCATCAGATTTGGGGAAGCCTCCAAAGTTTGTTTGCTTATCTGAACCATCCCAGGCACTCAGATTCACACAACTGGGCTGGAATAAAGCTCAGGAGAGGTTTTCTCAGGCAGACTCCGCAGCTTCCACTTGGGCTGAATGTGTCCTTTCAGGGGGAAACAGCACTTGTGCTTCAGAGAGGAGAGTAGAAATGCACAGGAGCTTGTGAATGACAAATAGCTTTAAATAAAGATACTAATTTGCCTTCTTACCAGCAGCCCCATCAAAAACTTACTTGATTTAGTTCATGACTAGGGAAAATAGTCCAACCTTATATGACTAACCTTCTATCCAGACTGGTTTGTATAACCCAGATGTGAGCCAAGTGCTTGGTTCCAGTACATGGCTGGAGCAGCTTGGAGCCCCTTAAGCAGCACCTGAGGAGGTGAAAGGGATGCTGCCTCTCCAGCTGGCACAGCTATTGCCCCAAACACTCACTCAGCACCCCTCTCCCATGGGTTTTCTTAGCATGGTGGGATGCTCCCACAGGGAGGTGCCTTCTAACTCCTGCATTTCTGTCTGCTCCAGCCACAAAAGGCACCGGCATCACAGGATCACAGCACAGCATAGGTCAGTTCTGCCCTGCTGAAGTCCATTAGGGAAACTTTCCATGAAGCCTGAAAGCAACTCAGGCTTGAAAACTGCTTATGATTACTAGACTTGTCTTTACTGGAGCTATTGCCATGCTGCCTAGGTGCCTGTCCTCTCCCTTTTAGCCCTGCCACCGGCATCCTCCACAGCAGCAGAGGACAACACTGCTACTCAGACAAATTAGAGCTAAGCAAGAGTCACTGCTTAGGGTGGTTACGGGCACTCACACATTCTCTGTTGTCTGTACTAGTTTCTTTTCTAGCGTAGCCCTAATGTTTGCACTTTTAGATTGTCCCTCTGTATAGCATTGGGATACCTAATCATCATTGCTGAGAATTTTTGGACTTGTTTGAGCAGATGACTGGCATAAAAAAAACTTATTTGTAATCAGTTTGACCCACACATGAGCATTTCTTTCCTCTCAGACTACCCTCCCCAACTTGTAGACTACCCAGCCAAGCCTTCAACAACTTAAGAGAAGAAAGTGCTTCCTCCAGCTGTCTGCTCTGTGCTTGCTCCCCATCCACATTAAACTTGCTGTGGACAGCGACACATTCCCATTTCACGCTGGTTTGATTAATGTGTCTCAGCTAATTGTGTGAAGGATTCCAGTCCTTTCGACTGTGAGACCAGGTTATTGTTCAGCCAATCGTGGCTGCCATGTGAAAATGGGGGCTGTTTAGTGTTCATGCACCAGAATCAAAGGAGGAGCATCTTGGACCCGGTCACAGAGCAACACCCATTTCTTTGAAAAGATGTTACTATGCTCTACTAAACCTGTAAACCTCTTGCTCAAAGCACGTCTTCTCACTCCTCCTCTTCCCCCTGCTCTTTTTTCCCCCTTCCAGATAGACAGGCTCCCCCCATCACTCTCTTAGGGTACAAGTGAGAGAGAATGGCTAGATTGTAGATGGGTGGATTTCACATTCTAGGGTTTTTAATATTTCACTTTTATATTTCTCTTACAGAATGATCCTGCTGAGAGGCTGAGAATCAGTGCTCATCATTTTCCCCTCACTGACACTTGAATATATTTTCCCAAGAGAAAACATTAAACAAAAAGAGAACGAGAGAAAAGGAAAGAGAGGGAGGGAAAGGGAGAGTGACTGAGCTAGCTTTTCAAAGCATACTTCTCAACCTGCCCACATCAAAATAAGAGACAACTGGCCCTTTGAAGTCCAAGACACAGGCTTCCCTACCAACCCATGTGGAAATAAAAGAAGCCAGCTTTATAAATCACACAGATTTCTCACCTTGCCCACATCAAAATCAGGGACAGTGACCTTTAAAACTGAGGTTTAAAGGCCCCCAAACCAATCTCCATAAAAATAAGGAGAGTTCAGATAAACTGTGTCTCCACATACCTGTCAGCTTTTCCAGTCTAAACCAGGAGACATCAATCCTTTGCCCCGAGCGGAGACTACATTGTCAGCACTTGCAGCAATGAAATCTTCCATCAGCCTAGCATGTGCCCAGTGCTCAGCGAGGCGACTTTGCCATACATGTACCTTTGTTTGTACCCTAGGCCAATCCCAGTGCTCTTGTAGGTCCTACAACAACACTATAATTAAGTAGCTCAAGGGATTTAGTAACACTGAAGCACAGGATTTTTTGTAATGAGAATTACTGACCTCAAAATTGAGTGGCTAGTGGCTCAAGAGAAAAAGTTGGCATTCTTGTGAGTTAAATCTTACCTGGGTTATAGTTGGGGAGCTTGGAAAGTCCTGGCCAGGTGTTCTCAGTTGGGACCCCCAATACCTGTGCAAAAGAAGAAAGAGAGTGAGAAGAGCAGTAACCTCTCTCTGCCAGTACTCTGCCTCTGTGTGGAGCTGGAAGAATTGGTCTTGATGGAGAGAGACAGGCCTTTACTGTAAACCAGCACAGATTTACACTGCTCTGGCTGGTGCTGGATCCACCACTGTGCATAAAGGACACTGACATTTTAGCACTTGATTTTGTAGCAGAAAGAGTCCTGCTGAGATTGAATGTTGTTGCTGCTGGGAACATCAGTGAAGGTGTGTACAGCTTCACTGCCAGGTGCCACTCCTGCATGTGTTTGCCAGCCCAAGGGTCACACTGTTGAGCCCCTCTCACCACTGAAGGTGTCCTCCTGTGCCAGAGCTGCACTGGGGACTTATTCTGCCCACTTGTGCTGGCAGCAGCTGATACGCTCAGCGGCAGCACAGGCTGTGAGCTGTGACAGAAACCCCTGCTGTTCTGAGGTAAAAAAGAAAAGCTGTCAGACAGATCTACTGGCAGGTGCTAGAAGCAGTCCAGTGTCTCATTCTGAAGGGTCCAGAGCTTCAGCAATGTCTTTGGCCTTTATTGTGAATTGTGGGCCTCAGAAGTAGGTCCTCACTGAGCAAAGTCTGGGCCAGTAAAGCTTCCTCCAACCTCATTTTAGTTGCTGAAATGTGTGAGATCAGTCATATCTGGATTTCTGTGCCAGTTGCAGTTGTGGAAGTCTAGGGTTGTTGTTGTTGTTGTTATTATTATTATTATTATTTACTAATTACTTATTACTTATTACTTATTGCATGCAAAGTGCCTTGTGCCTGTTGATGTGGATGAGTTCTGCTAAAGAGGTAAAGCCACGTATTTCAGAAGAGTTCACAGCATGTGATACAGTATTACAAATCAGTACTGCTAACTCCAAGCATTCAAATCTTATAATACGGACAACTCCCAAATTATCAGAGTTCCTTAAAAAATGGTGGAATTTTAACATGAAAAATGTCAGGTTTTTTTATTCACTTTCTCTTCCCCAACATAAGATTTGCCTCACGTTAGTTATACTTCACATACGATAGACAATTCCTTTTCCTTAAAATGAAAGCAGAGATATATGATATGGGGAACTTGGTTTCACAGAAACTTGTGATGATTGCAAGAAAATAGGCATCAGTAAAAAAATACATTAAAAAAGGAAGAAATACAAAGCCTTGTAGTTGCAGTGGTTATGCATCTGATAGGTGATTGCTTTTCTCACAGTTGGTAGACAGCTGTGAGGACAATTACAGCTACCTGGAGAAGACAGCCACAAGCAGGGACAGCATCTCACAGCAGGGACATATTAGCATGGTGGTCTGTGGAGGGAAGCAAATTAGGGTGGCTTGCTGTGGTCTGTGTTTCCAAACAGCTCATGGGCTCAGCCTGCCACAGCAAAGACCAAGGCATTGGACCCTTGTCTCTGTTAACCTGTAAAATCAGTCTTGGAAGCTTGAGAGCTCCTCAGAGAGAAGGTGTCTTGCAGTGTTCAGCCGCGTGACGTTGTTAGAAGGTGGCTCACACTGAGGATAATTTGGTGGCTCTGGATGAGGATGTGTTCTTGACTGGTGTATCATGTAAGAAGGGCAGGTCTGCCCAAAGCAAACTCTGCATGCACAGGAAAGAGAGAGTTGGAATCTGAACCTGAATCCAGAATTTGCTTTCTTTTGCTACCCTCTCATCTTTCCAGAAAGCTGCAGCAATACTTCTAAAATATTCTGCATTGAAAATCCAGGTGTGTGTTCTGAACTGTCATCCCTGCTTTCATCTGGGCCTGCATTCTTCAAGGTTTCTTGTGAGCCATCAGGCATCAGTCCTAAAGGCATCAGAGGGAGCTGGGGAAGTTCAGTACATAGTAAAATCATACTCTCCAGGGTCAGCTCAGCACTCTGCCTCTCCTTGGTGAAGAATTTAAGAAAATAGTTATTTGTGCATGCTTGTACTTTGCTACATAAGGTTTTCAGCAAATGCTTAAACTTTGCTGAGTTGAGGTGTGAAAGCACCAATCACTGAATGACATATGAATATGGATTTATATTTATATTTCCTGAGTCTTGTCTTTACAAAAGATGTGATTTCAACCCATATATTTGCATCTGGTTTTGAATTTGCAAGGTAATGAGGCAGGTGATTTCTGCTCCCCTCCCTTTTTCCCCTGGATCTTTAGTGAGACTCCTTGATAAATCAGACAAAGAGCTATACTAAATTAATTACATTCTGAGGATTGTTTTATCTGATATGTATCCACCTTAAATCTAGCTGTTAACTCTCTGGTCCATGCAATCAGCCAAAGCAAAACAGCTTCCCTATGCTTGCTACTCTGCCATGCTTCTCCAAGCAAGCATTTCTTACTGTAGTGAGAGGTCTTGGTGCAGCTTAGTTCAGTCCACTTTGGAAGAGGCATAGTTTCAGCCAGAAACTTGTTTACAATGCCTGTATTTCAGCAAGCACTTTAAGTTGGGCTAAATCACTGTGTTCTCTCTCTGTCCTCTACCTGCTTGCTTTTCCTGTGATGAACCAACTGAGGGAATCATCCTTGCCGATTTTGCTTACTTTAGTTGAAATTATATTTTATGTTTTATGTAGAGAAGCCTTGTAGTCATTCATTTGGCACTTGTCACATGTTTGGCTTAGCCACAGAAGCACACTGGTGGCATGCTGCAGCCTAATCCAGCCCACATGAAGTTCTTTGCAGCACTATGTTAATCAATAAGATGGAGTTTTTGGGTATAAAACCAATGCCTGGTCTCTTAAAATCTGAATGATGTATCTTAAGTTTGCCAGGCTTGCTTACTCTCCATGCCATGAGAGAAGTGGAGACAGTGCGGTTCCCATTCACTCAGGCCATACTTCCATAACTAGCACTGCTGGGCTAAGTAGCTCCTTCCCTTTGTCCCCTTCCCATTTGGTCCTGGTCCTGCTCTTGTGTCATCCCTTCATGAATACTACTGCTCATTAGTGCTACTGTTTGTGCAGCCAAATGATGAACTGGGTAAACAAACTGTTCTCATTTAGAGTAACTCAGGGAGAAAACCAAGTTATAGGTTCCCCAGTTCATGTAGCCCCGCATGTGGACAGTGACATAGGAGCAGGAAGGAGCAGACAGGGATAGAGATGGGGGATAGAGATGGCTTAAGGTGGCACTTGCCTCTAGAAGAAATGTTGGTGAAATGTCAGTCAGTCATCCCTGATGATTCAACAGGACAAACACATCTTGGGGATTTTCCAGCCATATATCTATACAGTGTTTGAACCAACAGTCCTACATGGAGATAAGCATGCTGGGTGATACATACTCATGCATACAAATGCAGACAGTCTCTAAACCAGTGCAGGGTGCCTCTATTATTAGTACATGAAAGAAACTGACTATTAGAAAACAGTAGGAATCCCCATTCTGAACCTCACATTTGGCAAAATACCTCAAGTTAGGCATCGAAAGCCTCTAAGGAGCTTTGAAATCTTGGCCTAACACAGAGCCTCATTCCAGACTGTATAATAACATAAAACCTTCTGTGAAAGGCACTAATTATTTCATGGCTCCTAAAGCTTCCTCATGATTTTTAAATAAGTTTTTTTTGCTTTCTATAGCACAAATCCTATTAATCACGGTATTAGTTATAATACCAGAGAAATGACGATAGGGCTATAACCCTCCAACTGCAAAACCACAGGAAATGTATCCAGAGATTTCAGAGTTGTAAGTGGAAGGATACCCTTCATTCACACTCCTGGAAACTGGGCCCTGCCCTGGCTTTGAACCCTGTTAATTGGCCAAATAAGTAATTTTTTTTGTCTTAATAATTATTTCCCCCCCCCCAGTGAAAGAGAAATTCAGCATTTATTTAAATGGACTGAACTCAAGACTAAAAACTGGACCTACTTGTCTGACTTTTTATCACATTCTAGCTAAAAGCAGAGAGGAAAACCCTACCATGCAGGAGTGTTTCTTGATGAAGGGATTAGGAAGGAAAAATCTGACTTACTAAAACCTGAAGCTATAAAGTCCATCCTTGCCACTTTCCAAATTTCAGTTTTCTGTACTTTCTCTGAAAACCCATGTTTGGGAAACACTATATGCAGAAGAGTAAATCCCTGGGAGAAAATGTGGAAGGGCAGACACCTACAGCAAAACCTAATAGCAACCTCTAGGTTGACCTTCCTGTCAAGTCAGTAACAGAGTCAGCAACAAGCAGTCAGGAACATACAGAATCTGTTAGTGCTGGTAACTGCCTCAATTCTACCAAGCCGCACTAAGGATGTGGGTCTGTGTTTCAGTTTCCCCAGCAGAAAAAACAGCTTAAGAGGTTCCTGAATATGTCTGCTCTCACTCACTGCTGCCTTTATAAAGTAATTTCACACTTTCCATTATGCCAGAACAGTCTCTAGGGCTGCACCATAAACTGGATGATACAAAATGTTCCAACTTAAAATGAAGAAGGATCTCTGAAAAACCTCAGGGTCTCGCCATTTTTAAGGTAGTTTAAGAGCAGTATTAGAGCTCCTTTGTGAGAATATGGTGTCCTGTATGCTACAGTAAGGAGAGGATTTAACAAGAAGGAATAGAATTTGCAGTACCTGCACACCTTTTATGCCTTCTTCAATTTGATGTCACTTTAATTGGCTTTAAATTTTTGATGAGATGACAAACATCAAAGGAAAGTCATTTGATTTACTCCTGTGCCTGTAAGAAAGTTGCCAACTATAAAATGGGTTACAAAGTCTGCTATGAACTTGGCAGATTGGACCAAATTATTTCTGCTATTCACAGGACCTATGCTCAGGACTTTAAAATTAAGTAGGGGGCTGGAGCAACAGATTCTTTTTCTCTCCCATTTCAGGGTATATTTTACTCACCGCCCAGATCTTCACCAGCTGTTCATGAGTACCAGAAGTTCCTGCAAATATTGGCTGGCCCTGGATCATTTCAACAAATATGCAGCCTGCACTCCTGCAAGAAACCCAAGGTATTAACTCATTCACGTTCATGATATGTATAATATGATTGTTGGGATCAGCAGGGGAGAGAGGAAGAGAGATAATTGTTGGAATGGAAATTTAGAAATCCTCATTTGTAAATGCAGAAATCCTAATATACGCTGTAAACCCTATATATATTGCAGCTCAAGTCTGAAAAGTACCAGTCTGATATGTAGGTATTGTATACCCATTGCATGTCATCTAGTGAGAGAGAGTGTGTGTGTGTGGGGGGTGTGTGTGGGGGGGGTGTGTGTGTGTGTGTGTGTCTGTAGCAAGGCTGGTTGTGGAGTGTCTGTATATATGTAAATGAATACAGGCTTCAGTGAAGGCTGACATACCTCTACAGTATGGTGGTAGGCAGGATGTAGCATTACAAAAAATCCTACCAATTGTGGGAAGTCAGGAAGGATTTCTTTGGGAAGGGCCATTTTATACATCCCTGGTCTTGCAGCACTGTTCTAAGCACTTGCAACTGTCCTATATTGCAAGTTGTATGTAGTATCATTAACCTCATCCAAGTTCTACAGATTGAAACACTTGAATTAAAAAGCTGACAAGTCAAATAGAATGGGAGCAGAGCAGAGATACATCACATACACATCCTTCCAGGATTTTAGAAAAAAATAAAGCAAAGTTCCATACAAGTCTGTTCCCATCTCCTTTTTCTCATCAGCACTATCCATTAAATCCCCTCCCCTCAACCCTTCACCAGCAAGACAAGACATTTGATACCCTCAGAAAAGAAGCCTGCCAGCATCATCTTTTTTTCCAGCACCAAACAATTTGTTTCAAGTCTCTTTCAATTTATCCTGCAACAAACCTATATTAAAAGATGGTCGTGGCAGAAGCCTCTGGAATACTACATTGTTTTCCATGAGAAAAAGGTGCAAAATTGGAGGACAACAGTAGGAAAGATGAACAGGGAACTACTACTCACTCATACATTAGATGCAGAAAGAACCCAGAGACACTAACAATTATAGTGATTTTTTCCTTCAGAAGCAATTAGCTCTTCACTGGAAAACTGAAGGCAACATTTCATAGCATAAAGAACTCAGTGACAACAGCATGTTGAGATATTCTTTTTTCATGCCATCTCCTGCTTTGCACTTTTGCCAGAGCAAGTGAGCCAGCTTAAAAAAAAAAAAACAAAAAACAAAAAAACAACACATGCCAAACCTTGCAAAAAATGCTTAATTTTACTAAGGTGGAATGGATTAGTCCTGCTGGTAATAATGATGAGGTAGTTGTGGTCAAGGTAGATTTACTGATTTGCAAATATTCCCATCTCTTATTGTATGGTGTAAAACTCTTGTCATTTACTTTCTAATATTTTCCCTCAGAACTATTCCTAGGTTTCCTATCTTTTCACTAAGCCCCATCCCAACTTTTTAGGTTTCAGTCTCAATCTTCTTTGGTTATAGAAAATTTGAGTCCTTTAAGCTCAAATGTTGAAAACCCAGCTTTGTCTAACAGGCTCTGAAAGCATTATTTTCACTTGCTGAGCAACAACTGGTAATCTCTTCTGGTCATCTGTACTCCTGTGTTACTCCTTCTACCTTAATTTTGCAATACTGTAGATGCTTTTTCCACCTGGCTGTGGTCAGTTGAAAGCCTGACATGCAACTCATCTGTGGTATTAATTTTGGTTATCCTTGCACACCAGGTGGTGCCAAGCCTGTTTGCAGATCCATATCTAATGCTGTTTCCACAAACATCTCTGCTGCACTTTCCCGTAACTTCCTGTACCCTAACCTTGGGTCTTGCGAGCTTAGTTCTTTGCTTGTCTAATATGCGCTTACAGGATCCAAGCATCATGAAACTTAACCCACAGCTTTTGTGACGTTGATTTTTGTCCATGTTTCGTAACACTACCACATCACTAGATATTATTTTGGAGACCACAGATTGAGACCAGTGTCATACCAGCCCTCTGTTTTCACAGCTGATGTACATGCCCAAATGGCTCACGCTATTTTGCAACCACAGGGGCTTGCTGTAATCATCTAATTCCATTGCACAAGTTTATATGGTCAAAGCAATTTAGGTACTCTGGAGTTGTAGGAAGAAGAGAATTAGCTCTATGTGTTTTTGGAGCAAATGATCCTGACATTTACCCATGTTTGTGTTCTGACATCTTAGCCAGAAATGGCCATTAGACAGGCAACAGCAGGAACTATTTTTCCTAGATTCAGCTAACATTTGCTAAGAATTACTCATGAGCAAAGAGTTAAAAAATTCGAAACTAATGAAACAGTCTTTTCACTAATAGGCAAGCTGACAGTTTGAAGAGAGGAACAACTTGTGGGTTGTTACAAATGCACCTTCTAGTAGAGCTCTCTTATTTCTGGTTTATTTCTACTACCTCTGGAGGCCTTTAAAACTTAGTGTCTCTAATAAAGACAAAACTATCAGAGCAACCACAACTGCTGGAAAGGAAGGGCTTTTTATTTCCTGTAGTGAGACTCAGCTGACCAGCTGCCTTTAATGCCCGTTTGATACTGTATTGATTCATCAGTGGCAATTATGACTGTTTCTATCTCTGTTTCCAGATGAAATACGCTTTTCTTTACAAAAAAAGGTCAGAAGTAGCTAGGACAACTGATGTATGGGCACCCCACTATTTTCCCAGATATTTTTGTCTATCTATTAAAGCAGGACTTTGGAAGCTAGTGCTAGTCATCATATTATTCTTTCAGCAGAGGCCTCAACTTTTCTTCTGAGATATGGGATTTACGGTTACTGCTCTGGCAGCATTATGAGGATCCTTCTGTTCATAAGGATGATTCAAAAACATTTACTTTTAAATATTTCCAACAATTTAGACCTAGTGATGTTTTGGTTTTCCCCTTTTCCTTCTTATCCCATTGACATTAATTTACAAGGCCCTCTTATCCTTTCCAGTCTACAAGTTTCTCAAAGGATCTCAGTCCCATACAGCTGCCTTGGAAGAGCTAGGGCAGAGGGAGGGGTCTTCAGGAACAGACCTAAACATGATGTTTCAGCATGTGCCAGATATGCATGCGAACCAAGACAGTGACTGCTAGATTAATAGAAGAAGTATAACTGGTTATAGGGATATTTATTGAGCACAGAGCTGGTTCAGACAGCACGGTTGCATCTGCCTGCACTCTCTGGGGCAGGTTTGAACACTGCACTTACTCCTCAGCCTGCAGTGCTGCATCTCAAAGTGGAGAAACAACTTCATCAGGATTAAGATCCAAGTTATCTCTGTGGCATACCAGAGTTCCCTCTCCACAGTTTTTCTGGCATTGGGAGACTGCAATTTTATATTTCAGCAGAAACACATCCTTTCTCTGTTCCACTGAGTGTGGTCTGTACAGAGGAGCCCTTAGCCTGTATCTCCTTGTTTGGCATAGCAGGGCAACGTGAACCAGGCTGGGGAGAAGGCTGTAGTGGGCCTGGCAGGTCCATGTTAAATGACTGCACGGGAACTCCTATTCTACATGAATCTACCTGGGAAGATTCTGATTATTTTTTTTTTTAATTATTATTTATTTATTTAAAATGGAAGATTATACAAGGAAAGACTAGCTGAAAAGAAGACATGATTTAAGGCACTCATGATGTTAGCAGCTACTAGTATGGCACGTGCATAAGGTATTTTAAAAGAAGAAGAAGAAGAAAAAAGTCTTTTTGATATGCGGGATAATTTCCCTGAAATGTTAGTCTCCCTGAAATCCCTTAATTGAATCTTCTAAAGTCCTGAAGAGATAGTAAGGGAGAAAGAGAGAGAAAAAAGATACAGAGAGATTAAAGCAGCTTTTCTAGTTAGTCCAGGAGTGAGTGAGTCTCCTTCTATATCTGTTTCTTCATCTATTCAAGGCCTCATTCACTTCCCATGTGCCTCCCACTGACAGTATTGCTGCTCAAGCACACTATGCATGAATTGCCATAATGTTTTATTTTGTTATAATTGGTTTCTTTAAACCAAGGATTTAACACCCACTGTCTCATGCCATTACCAAGGGCTTTCTGACCTGCCTTCATGTAAATTGCAGCATCCAAAAGACATAGGGTTTTTTCCTTCCTTTCTTTCCAATAGACAAGTAACATCTGTGTGAATTCACATTATTTCCTAATAGACAAAAATTGAACTTAAATGCAGTGTACATCAAGATAATAAATGACTCTTGTTAGAGGAAGTTACTGAATAGAACTCAGTGAAGTACTCTCTATTCTCTCAGCATGACATCTTTCTTTAGGGCAAACACTTTGAATGTTGTTATTATAAGGAGGCATTTATAACAAAGGTGCCTATAGTGTGAATGTAGTTCAGTGGGACTGAGAGTACTGTGCTGTTAGAGCTGGTCAGAGTGCTGGATGAGATCTTTGTATACCAATCCTATGTTGCTATTCATTACACTAGAGCAGAGTTACATAGTGGAGATGTTGGTTTTACACAGGCAGAAATGCCAGGCTTTCTGTACATAGCTCTGGGTCAACTTTCAGTAAAAAAACACCCCAGGCTTATAGCAGCATCTGCCTAATACAAACCTTCCAATCTGCTAGGCAGGCATCTTCTTCAAACTCAGCAGACGTTCCTGAGAGACTGTCTGGAGGGGAGAGGTGACAGGTATTGGGGGAGAGAACACAGGACTATTTAGACTGGCTTAGCAGCTGGAAGTCATTAGAATTTAGCAAGGTTTTCCTCCTTGGAGAATTCTTCAAGCAATTAAATTAGCAGCAGGCCTAGGGAAGTGAACAAACTAAAACTGCCCTCCAGACTTAGGCCATTGGAGTCTCCAGTAAGCCGCAGATCTCTGAAGAGGGATAGAGCCTGAGAAGACCTGGAGCTTTGCTCTTTGTAAACTCACCCAGCCCTCTCCTTGCACATTCTTCAGCCTGCTGTGCTCCTACCCTTTCCCAGCCTTTGACTCTGCAGAGCAGATAAAAAAAGTCCCAGTGTGACAGGCATAGGCAGAAAATTAAGTGGTCTGAAGAAAGGGTGAAGCAGCAATACTGTGTCCATATGTAAAACTGCCCAGAATAAGGGTGGTCTCTTGCAACTTCACAAGGTGCATGTTGTCTGTGAGTAAGTCAGGACTGTGTTGCCAGAAGCAGGCTCAGGCTGATGCAGAAATGAGCCAGAAGGCAGATGAACCCGAAGGCCCAGCTACACATCCAGGCCAGTCCAAAAGGAGCAGTGGGACACCTGTGAAGCCCTCAACCTCTCATGCTTTCTGCCTGGTCTCAAAGACACCTCTCTCTTCAGCTCCACTAACATGTGGCTTGTTTCCTATGATTCCCAGCCATGTTAAAATTTTGGGATAGGGCTCATAAGGAAAGAAGGCTTTGATAGTACACAGCCCTTCTCCTGTATGCAATGCAGAGTGCATGAGACATGTTATTTGAAAAGAAGGACAAAGTATCACAGAAATAATGAAAATCTCAGACATCTTTCTATCTCCAGACCCATTCAGAAACCCTTTTATGCCACCTTTTGTTACCAAGGCTAATGTCATTGTTGGTACAGTTGTGACTGGATCCATTGTTTCTTCACAAAGGCATTACTGTAGAGAGCTACCACTGACTCAGCTGACCACATAGATACAAAACAGTGAGTGCATTAAGCAAACGTGTTCTGTTGCAAGACCCAAAAATGCTTCATATATGTTACCAAATGAGATACACATCTCATAAACATTATCAGACAAGATTTCTATAAATCCATAGCTGAGATGTAGTGACATCATTCCCAAAAACTTCTATGAACCCAGCAGTACAAAACTCCCCACTGCTCACACATATTCTGCTCACAGGTGTTAATTCCTCTACTTACGACTATGTCTGCTGTAACTTGGTTGACTGAATTTAATTCAGATAAAGATGATTTTTCCCAAGGGACCCCAGATGCTTTGAAATTGGTTAGTACCAGATATCTAGATCAGAAGAATAATCTGTAGCTCCAAGCAACACATCAGGAGGACGGTACCACAGTGTCACCACTTCAGAGGAGTATGTCTGTCTGGGGATGGTCTTGGCACGAGCAAGACCTGTAAAAAAATGAAAAATAAAATACTGCTCTGTTAGGACAGTCCTTCTACCTGTACAATGCATAGACAATAATAATTGGAAACAGGACATTGTTTTCTCTTGGATCCTTAAACACAAGCAATTGACAAAGTACATCTGGAATACACCTCTGGGGCAGATCAGATCAAGCAATATGCTGTGTTTTGCAGGGCTCTACCATTTGTGATTGAAGCAGACATCCCAAACCAATGCCAAGAAAGCCTTTTGGTTCAGCACATTGCAGTGGACTCCACATGTTACATTATTTTCTGAAGAGAGAGTGGTTCGTTCTCAATTTTCTTTAACCAGTTTTATGTGGCAGTAATCGCTCTGACTTAAATGAGGTTACTCCCTGCACCTATCAGTAAAAAGGCAAGAAAGGCTGGACTGACCACAGAAATAGTTTTCTGAAGTTCAGTAAGAGGTTTTGCTTTTATGCCTTAATTGGCTGTGGATACAGATCTATATGCATGCTAAAGCTTTGTTCTGAGCAGATATAGTAGCAGTATCCAAACTGTGACTCACCAAAGTCGGCTAATTTGAGCTCACCAAGGCAACTGATGAGCAAGTTCTGGGGTTTCAGATCACGGTGAAGAATGTGTTGTTGGTGGATATAAGCCAGGCCACGCAAAAGCTGGAACATGAAGAGCTAGAAAAGGCCATCAAAAAACTGAAATTATGTTGTGTGACTTTGCATTAATACATTAATTCTGAACTTCAGGAGAACTCCTGGAACAAAGCAGAGACAAAGCAAGTAAGAAAGCATTAAAAATCACAAAAATTAGTAGAGTTGGCTGAGGGAAAAAAATTTTTTTGGGGTGGAATATTTGGCCATGCGGACAGTGATAGTGCACTCCCTAAATGCATATTTTAGAAATTTAACTTTTCTTTAGAAATGGACTACTGATTACAGGAGAAAGCGCAGCTTTCCAAAACACAGATCTGGCTTTCAGAACATCAGATATTCTGATTTCAGTGTTCAAGACAAAGACATACAGCCAAGCAAAATGAGTTTAAGGAGCTCGAAGTTTTGCTCATTTGAGCCAGCTGACACCAGCAGAGGGAGTGCTGTGGCCACTGTACACATCATCTCTTCCCAGTATAAACTGGACCAGTGAACTGACTTAGTTGACAATGTAAACGGTTATCTTCAAGCTGGGAGAAAACACAAGGACCTGATTTGAACAGATACAGCAAATAAGATATGATGAATGAAGCAAGCAGGCAAGAAAGCAGAAAACCAAGCAAGAAATATCTAACTCCTACCACTGTGGCAGTGTAAATAAGCCTGCAGTAAAATAAGTTGGGCTGAAACAAAGTATGAAGTTGGACAGTAGATAGAAAAAAAAAAACAGAGCAAAAGTAATTAGACTTCACTAGAGAAAAAATGTATTTCATCAGCAGTTTAATCTGAAGAGGAGGAAAAACAGTGACACCCATAGGCCATTTTGTACCAGAAAAGTGTCCTTGTAATATTCTGCATACTTGCATCATATTTGATAGGAATAACTCAGAGAAAAAACAAACATTTTCCAGCAAAAATGAAGCAAGCTACATGACCCTCCTAAAGGAGCAGTAAATAATTTTGCTGTCCAGTTCTTGCTGACAATGAGGATTTTGGACAGGAAAGCAGAGCAGCTGGCTAATGTTTACTCACAGCAATGCCAGTGAGTACGTGTTACAGCCATGTGCTTTACACATCCGCCTGGTAGCAGAGCCCTTGAGATCTGTGCCAAAAGTACAACACTGCATCTTGGATGTATCTGAGCTTTAAAGATGTTTAAAATCTGAGGCCCTGAGAAACTTCATTAGAGTTGGTGTTGCTTAACAACTATCTGAAAAAAAGATGTGAACAAGGTGGCAACATTTGAAGATGACAGAAGTATTTAGATTAGCTGTGATAAGAAGTGACAGTGAGGAAGCTCAGAGAGATCTGACAAAGTCAGACGAATAGGCAGTTTGATAAAATACAAAGTTATTGTTGACAGCTGTAAGATAAATTAACTGAAGCTGCTCAGGAAAAGGACCCAGGCATTTACTGAGGACATCTGCACTGAAACCTTAAGTCAGTGTGCATCAACACTCCTGAAAGTGAATTAAATGTGAAGATGCATACCAAGGAGAGTAGGAGATTATTATAACATCAGTTTATAAAGTAAGTGCACATCTTCAGCTGTGCTCAGGTCCAGTCAACCAATCCCAAAAAGCTGTGATAGAAACAAAAGGGATTTAAATTACTGTAAATATGAAGATATTTCCAGGAGAGAGTGAGATCTGAGAGTTTGTAATTACAGATGAATAATGTATTATAATGATAAGAGAATACAAATCCGTGTAGAGACAGAGATCATTTCCACAAGAGATCACTGTTCACAAAAGCCGAATGTCTTCTTGCAGACTCAGAAAACAGGAAGAGGGGCTAACCAAAAAAAGGCTTTGGAGACTCAGAGGGACGTTGTTACATCTTTACCAAAGGCAGCTTTTCTCCAAAGTTTTTGTCATATATGGAACAAATAAATATAAGTAAACAATTTACAGTGACCATACACAGTGGAATGTAACACTTCCTCATGCTGTAAAGGATACTAGTCTGCTAAGGAACTCACCATAACATTGCAGGAATTAAGTCCTCCAGGATGCTGGTCCATGTACTGTGCTAGATCTGTGTGCTAAAGAAAAGAGGAGAACTTGAGGTAAAGCTGCTGTTGTAAAATGCTTTTACCAACAATGCCTCTTCTGTAAATGGAAGAAATATGCAACCGCTACAAAGGTGTCTCTTTCACCTTGGTGAACATCTGATCTGATGCAGCACACAGGGATGTGCTTAAGTGTTGGGTCAAATCAGGGACCTGGCTGACCCGTTATCTCACCCTAGCAGTTTATGACCTGAAGCTGATAGTTAACAGAACTCATACTTGTGCCAGGATTAATCATGAAGCTGCAGTAAGAAGACGTAGCCCCTGTGCTTTCCTTATAATTTGGTTGATAGCTATCAGCAAAAGCAACAGAAGTAGCAAGACTCATGCGGAGAGCTTTTTTATTGGCATCCTGCCCTCCTCATGAGAGCAACCCACAGCTTGGTTATGGTAAGCTACTGGGGTCAGTGCCAAATCTGACCCCAACTGGGTTGTAAGCTCATATAATTATTTCCTATCCTTGCTGTGGCTCAAGAACAGTACTTTTATTGTGTGTCAGGGCAGAAGTGGAGGTAAATAGTGTCTGCCACCCTAGTGGAGACAAGATGTGGAATCATTTTTGCATACAGCTGCCTCATATACAGAAAGAAAAGAGTAAGGCTGTGTGGCTGGAAAGCAGGAGATCAAGAAGGAAAATCAATCATTGCATTAAAGGACTACAGCTTGTTTCTTTGTAGATGTCTCATAATGCAGTAAATTCATTATGCAGCTAATTCCCAGTACTTCCCAGTACTAGCTCCACAGGAAGCTAGAAAAACATCAACTCACCATGTACTCAAAGACAAATGTTAGTGTCTCCTTGGTCTGGATAATGTCATGAAGCAGTACAATGTTGTCATGTTTCAAACGCTTGAGAAGAGAAGCTGGGAAAATACAAAAGGAAGATCAATTTAACCACTGCTGCTGGAAGTGGAAGGAGATAGTGTACACAGCAAGACACTGAAAATAAAAAAACTGGGGAGAAATAGTCCAAACTTGGCAGTTCTGTAAGAAGCAGCAGCTACTGAGTCTGGAGGAGACCAGTTCCATAGAGAAGAAAGCATCAGTGCTCCAGGCTTGGCAGGAACTGCTCCATCTCTCAGAGGTGGGATCTTGCCTCTGTCAGAAATAGCAGCTCACAGTTCCCAGCTGTCAGCTTCTCAGCTGAGGACAAATAATTTCTTCAAGGCAAACGCCAAGAGGCAGGGGCTAGGAGCTCCCAGAGCAAGCATGCGGCAGCCCCTGGCCTGTCACTGAGCTTCTCATCCTTCTCCTACCTGCCTCCTGGCACGTTCCCTCAGCAGGGACCTTAGGAGACTTCTGGGGAAAGCTGAGTTTCTATCAGCTTCCAGCTTCACAATATGAGGGTGTAAAAATCTGCCAAAAGAAATCACTGTAGATGTTAAGCTGAAATTTGAATTTATCTTTGTGCTTTTAGCTTAGAGAAAGCACATTGGTTACTTTCTATGGTTTCAAACTCAAAGAGCAGAGATTAAGTTACTGAGTGAACAGCAACTTGTTTGTATTTATCCATCTTTGGCATGTTTTTTAATTTCCATCATTGCAACTGTGTGGCCCTGGTCCTTAGGTGCTGCTGACATGCCTTCGCCAAGTCTCAACATGTCTAGATTGTGGTGACGGACTGGGCAGTACATGCAAGAGTCTTTGCCTCCATATGGACCACAGAGCACTGACGGATGCTAAGACAAAAGCTACAGCTTTCTGAGCCTTTCAGCTTTGCATTAGGTTTCCCATGATAGAGGAGGCTCCAGCCAACACAATCAGGAAAGCATCTTCTCAGTAGAAAGTCTCAAAGATAGTCTTTATGGGGGAAGAGCATTCACAGCTTCATCATTTGCTACCATAGGTTTGAGACAACAGTTGATAGTATCTCTGTACAGAGGAGGGATGTGGGGAAGTGGTGGAGCTGGGATCACTCTGCCTGTAGATCCCTGGCAGTGCTGAAGAATCCAAGCCAGCTGTTATACCAGAACTCTGCAGACATAAGTCCCAAAGCTCTATAAAAAGTTCAGCTTTGGCCTCAGAGGTTCTCCAGACTCACCCTTCCCTGTTAATTAAAACCAAATTAGTTTACTGTCAGACCATGCAGTGCTAAAAATTCCATCCAAATAAGGCATGGGCATACAAATTCATTTCTGCTGAATTAGCTGGAGCACACAATACAGAGCTTGGGCCAGCCGTGGGAGGCCGAAAGAGTTTTGGTCCTGGACAAAAGCTGCTTTTTGTTTTTCAAACAATCTACAAAAGATATTTGAAGAGTTTCATGCTGGCAAAGCAAATTTATACTGGATTAGCACTTTGCCTTTTGTGACTGTAACGATTTCACCTGGTTCTAAAAGCCCTACAGCCAGATACACTGTATTACACAGCTGTGGCCTAAGCATATGTCAATACTGAGACTGCAGAGCAGAAAGGGATGCCTGATTCAGCATAATTACTAGAAAGAGCAGAGACCGTAAGTAGTTCTTGCACAAAGCTTGGTGCTACTGCAGCTAAACTGCCTCTAGTACTGATGCTAGCCCATGTACCTACCACCAGTATACTTCCAGTACATGGCAGTATGAACCTTAAACATGCTCCACATTGCACCTAATTGCCTACGAACCCAGTAAAGATATTGTGGCTAGATCCCATCTGCTAAAGAAAGGGGCTGCTAACCCGGCTCTGTGATACCTCAAAAATCCCATATGACCAGAGCTGTTGCTCTAGAGGAGCAGTACAGAGGGTTCACAGCAGTATGGAGAATTCAGCCCCTGCACCTGAATCAGGCCTCTGGGAACTGCTTCTCACTGGGTTGCTTCTACAACCCCCCTGCTGGGGTGTCAGGTGCTGCAGTCAGAACTGAGCTTTAAACACATTTTGTCTCTGTGGGGCTTCCTGGGGTGAAGCAGCTCTTTGTCAGAGGAGTGCCATTCCTCCAGGATAGCAGAGAATGCACCGCGTTAATAAATCTTGTGCTTTGTTTGCACTACTGACTTACATTGTAAATTTGAGGTGTCAGATGCTGCAAAGCTCAGCAATACACAAAAGATCTATTTAAAGTAGACCCTTCACAGAATCACCCTTGTCTCCTCCCATAATGAATGAAGTTAAGGCTCTCAGCCTGTCCAGTAGAGCATGTTAAAGGGGTGCTGATCTTTAGAGTGTCATTAGTTCTATGTAGATAAAGCTATTAAGGCTTATTTTACTGGTGGGCTATAAGTGTAAATGCAGAGCAAAAGCACCACAACAAATGAGTACATAGGAAATTGTAACACAAGCCATTCAGTAAATAGGCGTATTTAGGTATCTCTCTGCTTTCACCCAGAATTGGACTACAGACTTTGTAAACGTTCTTATCTTAATTACACTGTTATAAACCTGGAGTGGGTCCACTGACCTCTCTTGTTATTCTGAGTTGACTGCTATGAGAGTCCTTCTGTGCTAGGGCTGCTCTGTGAAAGCTGGCACATCTGCTCCCTGACACTCCATCCCTGTGGTGACAAGATCAACCCTAGTTTTGAACTGCAGTAAGAAGCAGAAAACAAAATATTTGTGATCTCTTACATAGATAGCTCTCACTGATACCAGACACCAAACTGGCATAAGGGTTGTGTATTTCTGTGGAAGGAAGAAACCAGATTATGATCCTCTTGGGATTGTAAAGCAGATGAAAACAGAAGCCTTAATCAACCAGGCAGTTTGTGAACGTGGTCTGTAGGGACATGTAAATACATTCAGCCAAAATCAAGCACTTAAACAAAAGCATTTATTTCTCAAAGAAACTGAAAAAACTGCAGACATTTTGCCCAGTGCTCTACAAAGTCGACTGATAGAATTTCTCACTGGGTTATTAAACACCAATTTTTTTGAAAGTGTTTCTCTTCAGGCTGGGATGTGTGATGGTACAGGTATCAGCTGCCATCACACAGGAAAGTGGCACCATTTGTGACAGCAGCAAGTAGAGACCCTGGAGCAAAGGGCACTTCCAGTCCACAACTTCTCAATGCAACAGCACCAAAAACTGCTGTGCAGTGCTAGTGTATAGAAATGGGTGTGAGAAAGCGACTATGGAGCAGGTAGCAGGCAGGAGGTGTAAGAGGATCCCTACACTGCGAGAAAGGACATGCTTTGGCTGCAGCCAGCACCCTCCCTGTCATGAGCTCAGATGCACCTGTCATGAGGGAATACACTGGCCAGCAGGTTCCCTCTCCATCCATCACGTGCTCACACAGGACAGCACAAAGGCCTCCTGCAAGCGGGGATAAGGAAACCAAGAGTTTTGAGAGGACAGCTGGCACATCGAGTAGGCAAGAAAGGACTTAGGAAGATGTCACATGGAGCTTTTCCGGGTTAAAACAAAAGCTCTTCAGGAGTGCATCCTCAGCAAGTTTGTCAATGACACTGAGCTGTGCGGTGCGGTGACACACTGGAGGGGAGGCATGCCATCCACAGGGACCTGGACAGGCTTAAGAGTTGGGCCTGGGCAAACCTCATGAAGTTCAACAAGGCCAAGCGCAAGGTCCTGCACGTGGGTTGGGGCAATCCCAAGCACAAATACAGGCTGGGCGATGAGTGGATTGAGAGCAGCGCCGCGGAGAAGGACTTGGGGGTGTTGGTGGATGGAAAACTGACTGTGAGCCAGCAATGTGTGCTTGCAGCCCAGAAAACCAACTGTGTCCTGGGCTGCATCAAAAGAAGTGTGGCCAGCAAGTCGAGGGAATGGATTCTCCCTCTCTACTCTACCCTTGTGAGACCCCACCTGGAGTTCTATGTCCATCTCTGGGGACCTCAATATAAGAAGGACATGGACCTGCTCGAGCAGCTCCAGAGGAGGTCACAAAGATGATGAGGGGGCTGGAGCCCCTCCCTTATGAGGCCAGGCTGAGAGAGTTGGGATTGTTCAGCCCAGAGAAGAGAAAGCTCCAGGGAGACCTTATAGCGGCCTGTCAGTACTTAAAGGGGGCTACAGGAAACATGGGGAAGGACTGTTTATCAGGGAGTGTAGGGATAGGATGAGGGGTAATGGATTAAAATTGAAAGAAGGTCAATTTAAATGAGAACTAAGGAAGAAGTTCTTCACTGTGAGGGTGGTGGTGAGGAGCTGGCCCAGGGTGCCCAGAGCAGCTGTGGCTGCCCCCTCCCTGGAAGGGTTCAAGGCCAGGCTGGACGGGGCTGGGAGCAACCTGGTCTGGTGGAAGGTGTCCCTGCCTGTGGCAGGGGGGTTGGAACTAGATGATCTCTAAGGTCCCTTCCAACCCAAACCATTCTATCATTCTATGATTCTATGAATGACATCCCCCACTCTTCACCAATGACTGAAGAAGCTCTTTATGTCTTACCTTCCCGAATAGCTGTAAATGGCACTCCCTCCTCTGCTTCCAGCCTGATCACTTTCAGTGCCACCAACTGGCCGTTGATCCTGTCAGGTCAGAGTGGAAGGTCACATGAAGAACCTCAGTGCTTTGCATGATAACATTAACAGTCCCCTGGGGTGCTCCACACTTGCCCAAGCAAAATTTCTAGGTCTCAGTCCCCCACCTAGGCCAAACTCAGAAAGGTATTGCAAACAACCTCCATCTTGTCTTCGTTAGCAGCAAAACAGGAGCCATCCCGCCTGGCTCGATTAGCACCATTCTGCTGATCAGATATTGCTAGAGCATGGATTTGGGCAGCATTCCCACTCTGACCTCTCACAGCTTTCCTGCCCCTGTGTGATGGCAGCATGGCCTCACAGTTTTTCCATCAGGCAGGGATCCCTTCTTCCAAGGAAAACCCTCACTCCCTCCCTGGTGAGGCCACACAATGTCCTGGCACACTGCTGCAAAGCAAAGTGTCTTTGTGGAGCCTCTGTGGCTGTAGTGGAGGTTCCCTGAAAAACCGGGATGGGGCTTTGCAAATATCCTGGTTAAAGGCAAAGATGGATTTTTAGTTTGCCTTTATCTTCCTGTAAGTACTCTGAATTGCCCAGTTTCAAGCTCATTCTTACGGATTCCAGTAACGTTTGTTTTCAGCAGGCACTGGGAAGGCAATAATGGCACCGGTGATCCTTGCTCACCTGCTGATCCCCTTGTACACAGTTGCACAGGATCCTTCACACAACTTCTCTAGATGTACGTAGGATGTGGCAGCTCCAAACAGGATGCCTTGTCTCTGCTTCATTAAGAAATTAGTATGTGTTGTTAGACTGCTGGGTAGAACAAGAAGCTACTAGTGTGTCATTCAGTAATTAAATACTGACTCATGGCTGGAATAATGTTAGGATGAAATATGTCCTGTCTGGCTCAATGGATGCTGCACATTCACCCATGTGAATCTCTCCATAACATCCTGCTTCTGGAAAGGATCAGCATAACTTCAAGGCCTCTGTGTCCTGCACCTCCAACTCTGGAGGGTGTGGAGCTGTGGTGGCTGCAGTGAGGGTAGAGGAAGAGGTGCTCTGGTTACAGCCGACAGCTGGCACAGAGAAAGGTGTCAAACCACCATTTCACTGATGTGATTCTTTCATTTCTTTCCTTTCTCCTTGACTGCATTGGCTTTGAGCAGTTCACATCATTTTCATCTCCCACCCCACCAGTTACAGATCTCCAGCAGAGTTTCTCAGCTCCATCTGTAAGGGGAGCAACTGTCTGTATGTTCCTGTTTGTGAGTAACACTCACTCTGAGAACACAAAAGATAAAACTGCCTTAACTGCAGAGGACCCTTCTACTAGTATCATTCTAAATGCACATTGTTCTCTCTTAGCCTTATTTTATTCATCCTTAGATAGCAATCAGTTAGGGCAGGGACTAAAAACAAAATGCAGGAGTGAAATTTCAGGAAGTTTAAATTTATGTCTTCTCCTCCTTAACCCCCTGTACGTCCATCTATATCCATTCCCTGCTCACCTCCCCCTCCACTCTTCCCCCCCATTGTGCTCACCACTGTGTAATTTACACAGCCTGGTAATTTGGCCCATACAGCATAACAGTGCCATAAACTATAAAACAATTAAAATAGTGGTAATGAATGACAGGCAGCCTGCAAGCTCCTCCTGAGCAGATACATTGGATGGGTGCCTGCATTATCATTTGACTCAAATATAACAGGATTTGTAATCCATGGCATGCTGCCTCCTCCAAAACTGTAGGTTATTGGCTCCTTCCCCGTTTTACAATCCTTCATTGGCAAGGAGCTGGCTGGAGTGCAATCTTCTCCACGTTCATCACATCAAAGACATTTATTTTCATCTAAGGCATGGAGTCCTCTTTCAGTAGCCTCAGAAGCCTGAAGCTGCAAAGTTTGATGCTGTCTGGTTAGAAGCAAACGCGAATGTTTTGCACTCCCATAAGAAGTGGGAGAACCCAGGCTTAACCTATCTCAATGCAGAAGTATCATGCTGTGATATTAAATACCTCTGCTGTGGACGCTGCTTCCATGTGCTGAAGGCCTTGGATACTTCGGGAGCCCCTTCTCTCTGAACAGCAGCTGCAGCATCCTGGTCTCACAGCACTTACACACCACATGTCTCCTATGTTGTCCTGTTGCAATCTCTTCTTTTTTCTCCTTTGCTCCTCCTCATCCCTCCGTCTATAATAACAGTTCATGTGACTTGCATGAGGTCTCTATCTCAAGCAGTCTTGTGATTTCTGCAGTTTTTCTTTGAAAGCCCAACACACAGTGATCTTAATTCACCCCGGGAGTAGCTCCATGGGTTTCAGCTCGTTTGGTATGGGCCCTCCAAAAACCATCAACATTTTTTCATACCTAAAGATGGAGAATTAAGCAATAAATCCAAACTTTCTGCTTGTACCAATTTCTTTCAGTTAAGCAACTCCCAGTGTAATATGTTAGGTAATTAAGTGGTAGGTTTCATACACGAACAGACCTTGACTTCCCTCCATGTCTATAGCAGTTACTATTCCATATATCATTAGGCTTTAAGATGAGCTATCTGAGCAGTGTGGCCGAGTTGTGCTTTCTGCAGGACCTGTACATTGGCTGTTCATGCTTTGGTATTGATGTTCTTAGCCATGATGTGGTGGTGTTGTCAGCATGGGGAGCTGTCTGTCCCCATTGCATCACTTATCTAAGGAACGCGGTAAGTTGTAGCTGATAGAAGCGTCTTGTCCACATGTCAAAACAGCCAGAGAAAATTGATTAACCCAGCCCAAAACAGATTTCATCAGTTATGTACTGAGCAGGCAATGAACTGTGGAATTATGCTGGGTGTGGACAGACAAAAGACCCCTTCTCTCATTCCCCCATGCGTAGGACTCGCTGTGCAGCTTCCTAGGACTAACACCCAACCCACACTGAGAAAATGCTGGCAAGGGGTGAGGGAGCAGGCATCATACTGTGGAATTTTTATGTTGACCCCTTAGGCATTTCAGTTTTCATTTGAATGCGTGATGTGAAATCTTCCCTCCACTGTTTTGGTGTCTTAAGAATAACACTCTTTCCTTGAGCAAAAGGATTTTTTTAAGCAGAAATGTCCTGGGAAGGCAGGAGCAATTTCTGTGTCTCATTGCAACCAAACCACCCAGCCTTTGCACGGCAAGAAGGAGCTAACATATCTGGAAGGCGTCATTTTTTTGCATTATTTTCTTTTGCACCCTCCAGTTAGCCATAATTTACTAAATATCTATCACCATGGACTTCAGTCTTCTATTTATTTTCTACATATTCTTTGAGCCATCAGAGTACAGCAGTAATTAGGGTGTGCTGTGCAGGAATGAGAAAGGTTGTCTAATGCAACATACTCAGTAATAAACTGGCTATGCAAACATCATTTGCACATCTGTACAAAGTTTCTTATTCTGGGAAATTTTATTGTTATGACAATACTTATACAAATGGACTTTAAAAATACATTTAACCATAAATAATACTTAACTTTTAAAGGAATTGTAAGATAAATGCACAAAAAGTAGACAATATAAAAACATACATATTAATTCATATGAAGATTATTCATTTTAATCATAGATACACTTTGTGTCAGGGAATATAGGGGAATTACTCTGTTACAGAAAAGTCATGACACTTTTGCCAGCTAGCAAAAGCTAGTAAACAAAGAAAGCATGGTAATAGCTGGTGGTTCTTACTATTGGAAAAAAAAAAAAAAAAAAAAAAAAAGAATATTAATTCCAGTTAGCAGAGGAAATGATCTAATAGAAAAGTTTAATAGTTATCTTTAGAAAATGTAAGAGGTTATCAAAGAGAGCCTACACCTGTTTTCAGAACCATGGATTTCCAAGCAAAGCTTCAGGCAATGTAAGAAATAGTCTACTAAGTGCTGACATAATGTAGAAAGTACATTTAACACGACTTGTTCAAGTAGAAGGACATATATATACTATGCATATACATATACAGGTGTATCTATGTATTTTAAACATATTCTGTAGAATTTATGCGTGTATAAAAACATACATAAAATGTTCGTGCACAACTTGTGCATACACACGTGCACGTCTACATGGACACGCACACAGCTATTTGCGGGCGGCTTGTCCAGCAGCCAGGCTCCAGATCAGCGCGTCAGCGAACCGGTGCAAGCCTGCTCCCATTTACACCAGTAGCTAGACTCGGAGAGCTTACGGAGCAGGGAAGCACGGCCGGGTTATTATTGCTAGCTATTGATCAGGTTTCCCGTGTAGGTTACAGCTTTGTCCCTTACTCGTGCCTCTAGTATTTTATAAGGCACGCTGGGGTGCCTTTCCCGTGCTCTTGGTGCCAAACACCGCGATGGTGGCACTGGGACACCCAACTCCGCCGCTCTGCCCGGTACTGGTCTAAGGGCGCTGGGAGCAGCAGAGTCAGCGGAGCGTGTTCCCCGGTCAGTGCTGGAGGCGGGGGGAGGCCCGGGGGAGGCCGTGCCGTGCTGTGCCGTGACACTGCGCCCCATTCGGGCGGGTCCCGGCCCGGTGTGTCCCGGGGAGGGACCCGTCGGCGCGAGCGCCGAGCCCCGCCCCGCGCCGGGCTGCCGCCCCTTTCCCCAAGGCCCCTGCGCGCATGCGGCTGTGCGCCGGGCTCCACCCCTCGCGCGGCGCAGAGGCCCCGCCTCGCGCCCCCGCGTGAATCAGCTGATCTGCGACCCGGGAGCCGGCGGCGAGGCCGGCGGACAGAGCCAGCGCGGCGCCAGGGGGTGAGGCGGAGAGCGAGCGGGCGGCGGCGGCGGCGGCGGCGGTGGCGGTGGCGGCGGTGGCGGCGGTGGTGAGGAGGGGGAGGTGGAGGTGGTGGTGGTGGTCGTTGTGGGAGGTGCGGGGGCAGCGCGTGCCGCATTGTGGGGAGGAGTGGAGCCCGAGTCACGTGGGGCGCCGACCGGTGCGGAGGTGTGTGCGCGCGGGGCGGGGGGAGGGCGTCCCCCAGCGGCTCCGCCCGGCCGTTAGTCGCCCGCGCGCTCCCTCAGGGTGACGGCCGCTGCGTGGGGCCTCGCCTCCCCCCGGGAGCTGCTCTGGCAGGGCAGGTGCTGCCCCGGCTGCGGGGCTACAGGTGGGGAAAGTTTAGGGGGGGTTATGAAGAGCGGCGAGGGAAATGGCTGCCGTCGGTTGGGGAGAAGCGAGGTGCGCAGCGGTGTGGCCGGAACCTGCTTGCGCGAAGCGCCGTGGGCCGTCCCGCCGCGCTCCCTGAGCCTCCCACGCCTCGGGTGTAGGACAGGGGGTGGTGTGCTGCTGTTCTGCACCGGTGATCGGGGCACAGGCCCCTTCTCAGTCAGGGGCTGGACTTGGGAAGCTGGGGGAGAGGCTAAAGAGCAGCTCTGAAGATGCAGGATATCCAGCTCTTGATGCTCGCTGAGGGGCTGCTAGAGCAGAGATGTTGAGATCTCTTTCTGTAGGTTCCTAAAGAACTCATCCCTTTTAATGAGAAGAGACCATTTAAAGTTTAAATAGTGTGCCCTTTATCTCCTTCCACTTTCGTTTCGAAGTTCTTTCTCTTTGCATGACTTGGTTGCTCAGCAGTAAACGCTGTTATAACTGTCAGAGTCTATTGAGTGATGGTCTTAGCGTGGCTGCAGTATTTTGTACACATGATGTCGCATGTTGTCACTCTCACAGAACTTTTCCAACACAGAAATATTTTGGTGAGACACTGGGGAGCAACTAGACTAGTCATAGATGATTGGTAGTTGATCACTCCTGTTACAGTGTAGCAACTTACAAAAACTAGCTATGTTTACTGTCTTTCAGCTTTTGTAGAGATAACTGTTTTCAGAAGGGGAAGCACGTGAACATGTGCTAAACTAAGAAGATGTAATTTCAAAAGAAGAGGAGGAGGAAGGGATATTCAGAGTTTTTTGAGTCCCTTATGAGTTTGGTAAAATTTAAATTATTGTGTGTTACAGCAGATAGTTTTCAGCTGTGTTCTTTTATCTGATACCAAGTCCTTTCTTTGTTGTGATTTTGTTTTTGATTTTTCCTGACTCCTTTACTGTTACAACTTGTTTGCTACCATCCCTCATTCACTGGAATTGGCGTTGAAAGCTTTGAGCCCTCATCTGAAGGGATCACTAATGTCTTTTCATAGCAAGTTGTTTTGTTTTGCTTGGAGTAGATCTTAATCAGACAGTGTTAAAAATAGTGGTTGTACCTAGTCAGTGCTGACCAAAACACAAGGGCTCTTGAACTGAGAATGCATGATATACGAACTACAGTTAGCAATGATAAATTATATATATGTAGACAAGACTAATGGTGACAACTCTGTTTTGAATTAGAAAGCTTAGAGGTAACCTTCAGAACCTGAGCAGATAATTTTGAATAACAAATTTGCAGTCTTGGCAGTATAGGTTACCTCTACGTACAGTGCAACAAATTTATTAAAAACGTGTTTGTAAATATGTAAGTAAGCATGTCTGAAAGTTGTAGAAGCACTTGTAGTATTTATGATCTGTAGCAGGTAAATAAGTACATGAGGCTGATGGGAGCTCTGGTATTTTTGAAAGTCAGGGGTGCAGCAGTTGTTCCTGTTCAGCACTGAATAGAAGATTACTTTTATACCTGTGATGCTTATTAAAGAATGGTCACTGTCCAGTGAAAGATGCAGTCCCATAGTAATGAGAGTAATATTTATTCCATGTCATTCCCAGCCATAGCAGTTGTTATGGTGTGGTAGGTAGCATTTTACTCTGTAAGTGGAAAGTATGAGATCAGTGTCATGCTAGTGACCATCTGTCTGTAACACAGATCCATTTCATAGTTTGGCACTGTTTGGCACTCTTTGCTTTTTTCCTCTTGCAGTACTGAAGCTAAAATGTAGAAAGTAAATGTATGGACAGAGCAGTGCAGGTGCTGGTATTGTACTGCTCTTCCATACCATGAGATTGATGTATTGTGCCTGGCTGTTCACTTCTATTGACGTTAAACCTAATAATAATTCAGGTAGTATTAGTGGAAAAGAAATAATGTATATGTAATGTTACAGTGTAATATATAAATGTGAGAATCAGTGAAGAAAAGTGCATGTTCCTATTGGAAGGAAGAAACTAGCATTAATTAGTTTGTAGCTGTGACCAAATGTCTTG